AAACAGTAGTATTTATAATGTAAAGATATAACGGTCATTATTTAAGACAAGGCTTCCATTGCCCATTAATCTGTATGTCTTTTCTGTTGGCTGTGCATTGTTAGACCATCTGTGTCTTTAATAAGTAACTGTGTGGGCTCTCACAGTTTAAATATTTACTTTTAAAATAATAGAGGATCCAAATGAAATTGAGATACATGAGAATATCCATGTCTGGTGTTTTAAGTGGAATGGGAGTAGATTTGTGCAGTAGATTTGCAAACTATAAACAGATGTGTTTTGATGACCTCTTCTCCTCTATTTGATCTCCACTTATAAAACACAGGTTCACAGATTAAGCTTCTCAGTGTTTTACATGCACCTGGGAGAATCTACATGTGTTTCTTTCTGTTGAAGTTGTGGGGAGAAGTCCAAAGAGTTCATTGCTCCATACTTGGGTTTCACGAAAATCAGATTTGGCATCACTAGTGAAATTCCTTCACAGTGGCATTCTCTCACTGTGACCTGAGAAAGTGAGTGCAGGTGGCCAGAGGGAGTTACGTGCACCTTTGCGGCTTGAGAAGGTCAGCGCCGGGGATGGTAGATGAGTCTCACTGTTAACTCCGCCATGGTCAGAAAGGGAGTGGCAGTTTTCAAAAGACATCCTGGGCAACTGCCATTCCTTCAGTCGCAGCCTGGCTCTGGCTGGCTGGGCAAGGGAGTATGTCATGGCTTAGACACGAGATTTGGGACTGTCCACCCATAGATCAGAACCACTGATCTCCCTCCTTCGTGAAAGTGGCGCGAGGCAAAGTTAGTTTTCATGACATTGTGTACAATTTTAGGTACTAATTGCCATTATTTGAGGAATGTAAATGTGGTTCATCTCGTTTTACAGATAGAGAGAAAGGTAGGTGGCTTCTGCTGTCACGTGTGGATCCGCAGTGAGGGCCGCTTCTTTCTGTTCTCCAAGTGGCTCTGTGTGCGATTGTAACAAGAAAACATAATGGGTCAGTACAAGGCACACGGCTCCTTTCACGTGGGGTGCACAGCACGTTTGGAGGATCACTGTGTGATGGTGATGATACACTGCGACACTCAGGGATGCTTTCACTCCTTTGGTTTGTGTCCAGGATGAATCCACTTCTTTCGTAGTCTGTTTAAGAGAGGCCACGTTCTCTCTCTGGCACTGTTCGGTACCTCTTCTTGCAATGCACTTTTACAGCATGTGGTCTTTGAAGTTTGAATTCCAGCTTCTTTCTGGACGAGCACTAAGTAAAAAGGCAGCCTTTAGGGTTAGGCAGCGCAAGGTAAATTTTCAGCCCCATGAGCAGGAACTCAGTTATATGACTTGCATTACCATTAATGGGGGTCATGCTGGTAAATTCCTGTACACCACATTGAACATTTACTCATGAGTGCAGAATTGGCACAGCTAATGAAACTTGACTTTCGGGTAGCATGGTGTTTCAGGAGATGAGTCTGACAGCCAGAAAGGACGGCAAAGTACCCAGATGAAAATCTGTCTTTTAACTCCTTGAACATATTTCCAGAAAATAATAGTGTGAATTAATGCTGGTTAGTGTTAGCTGTTCCTACTGTTAAGAATCAATCTCGCTCCAGTAGGATTCCACAGAAGCAAAGATCATGACTGCAGTGTTGGCAATTCGCTGTTGTGTATTTTCCAAGTGCTACTTACTGTTACTTATTTTCTTTTAAATGTAGGCCAGTCCTCTGCTACCACCAGCTTCTATAATCACAAATAAGTTCTTTTTATAATTTTCACCTCTGCTACTTTCCCAGAGATGACCCCCCTATGGCTGGGAATCACCTGGTGATTTCCTGCCTATGTTACTCATGGGCATCTTATTCCCACTTGTTCTTGTACTGTGCCCACTGCAGTGATAGTGTCTTATTGCCGAAACCCTTCCTCAGCCTTTACTTTGCTAGGCTAATTACATCAAGTTCTGTTTGATAAGCAAAGCTTTCCATTTCCCTGACTGCGATTCTGTGCATCTGCTCTAGTTGGAAATTATTTTTAATAAATTAAATGAAAATTGCCCACAATATTCTATCCTGTTCAGTATCATAAAATTTCCCTCATACTCATCTTTGCAACAACCCACTGTTGCATTGCCTTTTTTACTTTTTAATCATAGTGTAGTTCATAAATGTCTTACAGTCAATTAATAGGGTTTTTTTTTCTTATTTTTCTTAATTTATAGCTGATGGTCTCTGAGCTCGCAATAGGATCCTTGTCACTAGATGCCAAGTTTCGTGTTGTGTGATTAATTCTCTTTCTAGCACTCAGCTATTCAAAGTGATTCTTTTTTTAATGCATGGTGCTCTATATACCCTTTGCATCATCACCCGGCTAGTATTAATAAATATATTAAATTAGTAAAATCACGATTCAGTTCTGAAGGAATGTCTAACTTAGGGTCCCGCTGTTCAAGTCTTTTATTTGTTCACATTATTTCAGTTTAAAAGTTTTGCCTGTGCTAGGAGCTGATGAGTAGTGTAGTACTTGCCACATACAAGAGAAGAAAGTGTCCATGTCACATTAAATCACTCAGAAAATCTCGCTTTCCTTTCCCAGCAGCACATTCTTACATTATGGGAGAAGCCTGTTCTGCCAAATGAACCTTTTAACATGGTCAGAAAATCACAATGTTCGAGCTAAGTATGGTTTGAGCTGCCAAGAGCTCTCTTTTCCTTCACTGGAATATTCCCTGTGTGGTCATCAGGGGTCTGCACTGCAATGACCAGTGGACATCTAGAGAAACACTTTGCAATTTTTCTGTTAAATAGAAGTAGGGAGTTAAAACAAATCCACTTTGCCACTGCAGCTAGCTGCCTGTGAAGGAGCAGCTGCAAACTGCTGAGTCTCATCAGGTTGCAATCGTGATTAACATTGGGCAGATCCCCCCTGCTGCGAGAATAAATACCCTGCCTTTGTCAAGGCTCCTTGTAAGAAACAATAGGTTATTTCACTGAAGCACAAGAATGTAAATGTTAATCGAATCATTCCTCCAAATGAATAGAAGTAGCACCCAGAATGTAAACATTTTAATTTTGGAAGGGAAGGGCTGCCTGTCAGTCGGTTAATTTTCTATGTATTTTTTCATTTACTTGGAAAAGCTGCTCACTAACATTGCCATCATTGCATACAATATTTTCAGCACTGCAAATGTGTATGCTTCCTGTCTTTCCAGGCTAGGCAGTGGCAAAGTCCAGGGAGTCTCGGAAAAAATAAAATCTGCCTGAATTTCACTCAAGAGAGGTCAAAACCTTACACTGTATAACTGCCAAACCATGTGATCACATTAGTTCTTGGTGAAGGAAATGGAAAATACTTTCCAACTGGAGTTGACACCAGGAAACATCTTTTGAAAATGTTTTTTATACATTGGGATAATTACTGTTAGAAATAAATCTGTCTCTCTTTACAGATGATGTAAGTGGCTTTAGGTATTTTAACAAATTTGTGTGTGTACAAGCGAAACAGAAAGAATAGGCATTTATCCCCTTACTGCTTCCTTGTTTGCTGTACAAATACAGGATTTCAGTACGCGGTTGAGCAATATATGTTTTACAGCGAGTGTACAGCAGGCCACAGTCTGATGCCCAGCCATGTCCCGTTTTCATAAGGTTATGACTATTGTTGATCAACAGATTATAAAGATATCTCTCGGCTGTCAGCTGTGCGGCGTGTCTGGGTCAGATCCTGGTGACTTCACTCCTGTGAGGTGTCCCCGTGCCCGTAGAGGAATGGTAGCAAAGCCAGGGCAGTTCAGCTTGTGGCTTCTGTTTATACACGCACCCTTCTTCACCAGTCATGATGCACTTCTCCATGCAGGAATCTGTCTCTTGACTTTCTGCATATACCATCTCCTGTCAGTCACACTGGGTACATCTCATCCGTTTGGAAATTAGTGGAGATGCAGGATATGTGGTGGAGGCACAGAAGTTTGATGGTTGGGGTTGGATTCCCAGTGGTCTCATAGGCTTTCCTGTCTGTCGGGATCCCTGAATTTCTCCAGTTGTTGGTTGTTGCTGAAGTGGGATGAACGACAGCTGCCAGCAGGGTGATGAGCAGAATGAGACAGTAACTGGAGGTGTGAAGCTGGGTATGATAATTGTAGTTTTGTGGGCACATTGTGATTGCATGGGCAGGAGTTTCCTACTGGCTGGGTGAAGCCAGAGATGAGGGGAAGCCAGAGCATTTATTGCCACTCTAAAACACACTTTCTTCCCATCTTCCATGCACCCACAGTGTCAGTCTTCATGCCTGGACCAAAAAGGCTGCATGAGCAAGCTCACATCCATTATTTTTGATTGTCCAACTCCATGGGTCAGTGATCTCTATTTTCCCAAACTAGAAACCCAGGGGCTTCTCAGCTGTCTCAGCAATGGGCAGTAGTTTTCCATGCCCTCCACCCCGTAGCTGGAACCATCAGTCTTCATCTAAGCTCCCTTCCAGTCATCACACGACCTTTCACTACAACCTTTACAGGAACCTGCACTCATTTTCTGGTGGCCCTGACAGAGTACCGCCATCAAGGAAAATTTGATGTAAGCCTTTAGCCTCCCTTGTGATATTATGTCATTTTATGGTTTTCTGTCTTTGGGCCGAAACAATATTAAAATCCAAGTGACTTCATTCGCATGTGGTGAAGGTTGCAAAATTAACAGAATTTATTTGTTTGCTGTGCAGAAGTAAGAAAACACCTCTTTGAAGTGATTTGGGCCAAATTTGTTCAGAAGTGGAAAAGACCAAAGCCACTTCTGAGCTTGCTGTTTATGACACTGGGCATGTGTGGACTCTCTTTGAAGTAGACAGTGGGGCTTTTTCTTGCCTAAATGTCATAGGTCAATTTAACTTCTGCTGGTTTGTTCACATATCCTATTTTAGTCCCCTTTGGGGGGTAGGAATAAGTATGTTGTTGAGCTGGCTGAACCAGCATTAAAATCTCGTGTGTATGTAATATCGTATGACATGTGCCGTGTATTTCTTGAAGCCCAACATTGGGCGATTAGGAATTCCTCATGGGCCTTCAGGAGAGAAGGTGGCCGTGGTGACTGTGGACGACTGTGACACAGCAGTGGCTGTGCGCTTCGGGAGCCTCATTGGAAACTACACCTGCGCTGCCCAGGGGACTCAGACCGGCTCAAAGAAGTAAGAATTCCCCATATCTGCATTTTTCCACTCATTCTCTTCTTCCAGGGGAGAGTCAGCAGTATGTGATTAACCACTAAGCAATTTAAGTTGGAAAAGCAGATATGATTTAACAAGAAAAAAGTGTCAAGGTTTAGTTAGGTAGATGAAATTTGTTGGAGGCTAGTGCAAGTGTCAGCACACTGCGTGGAATGCACAGAGTTTTGTGTAGATAACAGACGTGCCCAAATTACTTGTAAAATGCAAAAGAAAAAAGACCTGGAGGTCACTGTGGATGGCCCCAAAAAAGCAGTATGAAAATGTAGAGAGAAGGGCAAATGAAATGTTAGACTTTATTAATTAAGGGGATGGCTGAATAGCTTATTATTTCTGTCATTTAAGCTAACAGTCCTACCTTAAAAGGACTCAGAAATAAAGGAGGTACGGAAAAGGCCATTGAAAAATCATTAGGTATTAAAACAACCAAAACCTTTCCTGTGAGGAAAGACTAAAAAGATTGGTACTGTTGAGTTTAAGGCCAAGATGGACAGCAAGCAACATAGCACGGATATAAAATGGTGAGTGATGTGCACTGAGATGCGCATGCTGCTCTAAAATCCCAAGAGAATGAGGGACCATAAAAGTTAGGGCTAATTCAAACTGACCGGATTATATACTTGTCACTCAGTGGAACCTGCCTCCACCAAATATTACTGAGATCTTCAGCGGATTTAAATAGGGTTGGCACTGTATAATAAGTCATTATGTCAAAATCTACAGCATCTCAACCCTTGTGCTGTGGAGTATAAGCCAGCCCCTGGGTGACTGGAGTCAGGAAGAAGTGTCCCGTGGCTGCACATTTTTCCATGATTTTCATTTTCTTCTGCATACTGGCCACTGTTAGGGAGAGGTCATTGGATTCTGTATGTGTACGACAGCTCCTGAGCTACATGTTACAGTGTTTTGGGACGGTCCTTTGATTACTGGCTCTGGAAGTGCTGATGTAGGGAAGTGCGTGGCAAACAGAACAGCTCGCATGTGCTTATGGAAGCGCTGAGATAAAGAACAAACCCAAACAGTGTGCAAGCAGTGATGAGCATTTCTTCATTTTTTCAGATCTTTGGACCTGACTGGCCCTCTCCTCCTTGGTGGTGTCCCAAACTTGCCTGAAGATTTCCCGGTGCACAACAGACAGTTCATCGGCTGCATGAGGAACCTCTCTATCGACAGCAAGCCAATCGACATGGCTAGTTTCATCGCCAATAACGGCACTCTGCCAGGTATGAGTGACTACCGCCTCGAGGCACCACAAGAAAGCTCTCTGCCACAGCTGTAACAGGGCTTAGGATGTCAAAGTGGCCAGCACTGGGAGGATCCTCAGGAAGGGACAGGAGACAGAGGGGTCTGAAACAGCCCCTGTCCCTCTGTTAACACCTCCGAGTGCGAAGCCTTTGCCCCAGGTGGTGTGGCAGGGGCTGGAGGTGCTGCTGGGCATTCCATGACCCCACGTCACTAGCACAGCAGCATCCAGACCTGGTTTGTTTGAGCAAGGTGCAATCCACACCCATACCAGGGACACAGAATACCCATGGCACAGCGGCACGCTTAGAGGATTCCGTGGCAGGCAGAAAAGGACCGAGCTTGTTCGGACCTTCTGCATTGCTGTGAGTTTCACACAGGAATTTACTCCTAAATGAACTTTTCCTCCTTTTTTTTAACTACCTTTTAAATATCACTTTGCTCTGAAAGCTGGTAGGATTAGTTCATGAAAAAGACAACATCTTTCATGACTTTTTTTGTAAATTATGTTTGTTCTGTACATCAAATTTTGCAGTCCTCCAAATCTGAAACCTGCTTCATGAAGCAGCCTGTTGGAGGTTCTGATTTGGTTTCCAGTCCTTGGATCTCTGATCAAGATTAGTTCTGGTGTACAAAATGTTCTCATCATCATAAAACTGTCTCTTACACACAAGAATGGCAAGTCCCTTCTTTCCACACTGCTGAAGGTCTGTGTAAGAGCTAAATCGCAGTTCTTAGGTATGTTGCGTTGATCGTGGATTAAGGAGGGAGTTATAGCATATGCTTCAAATCATTATTTTGTCTTGGAGGTCTTTTTTAACAGCTATGTCTCTCATATTAGTTAAACATGAGGTTTTATCTTACAGAAATATACATCAGGAGGCCAGGAAATGTTTTATTTAGGATGGGTATTTTTTTCTGCATTTGGAAGCGTGTTTCTCTATAGTTTAAAACAATGGTGTATTAGTGTTATTCCACTGTGTAACACTGCACATTGGCTTTCCCTGGTTCCTCGATTAGATGACATTAAGTGGTGCTGAGTCACAGCACCAGGTGATCTGCCTGTCTCCAGCAGTGGATGCCAGGGGAAGAGTATAAAAACAGGACAAGCATGCAGTGATATTTCCCCAAAATTTTCTCTTAGTCCCCAGAGATTTACAGCTCAGTCACTGCATTTAGTAACTTTTGGTAGATTTGTCCTTATAAATTTGACACTTGCTCAGCTCATGTAAACATTTGCCATCCACATTTGGCTTCGCTGACTTTAAGAATATAAAAAAAAATCCCAAAACCTCTAATGATCATGTCTTCATTTTACATAAGAACTCGGATGCAATCATTCAGAGCTTTTTTCTTGTTAAAACCACACAAAGTAACTGCTTTCCTGAATTTCAGGCTGTGCAGCACAGAGGAACTATTGTGAAACCAACTGGTGCCAGAACGGAGGCACGTGCATCAACAAGTGGAACATGTACATCTGCGAGTGCCCTGTACGCTACGGAGGGAAAAACTGTGAGCAAGGTGGGATGCAAAGACCTCTTCGTGCGTTGTCACATGTGCACGTTTTGTTACCTGTCATAAACATCTCGTAGCACGTATGTCAAACGGTGATGCTTAAGGGATAGGAAACAGAAGATTGCAGTTAAGACTAAAAGTCACCCATTATCTACCTGAAGTAATTTCAGAGATCACCTAAATAGCAGATAGGATACACTGTCATGAGTAACAGCAGCTTTCATTTATTTACTTACGTAAGCAAAGTAGTTCCACAGAACTTGGCAGTATTTAGTAGTCTGTTTATAGTAAAAATGCCTGATCCTAAGCCCCTTTAAATCAGTGGAAAGAATCCCGCTGACTTTATTGGGCTTTGACTCAATCCAGAGATGAACGTGCAGTTTTAATCACCACTTTTTTGGCAAGAAGGCACTCTGCTGAGTATGAGCACTTTTGGTTTTATTGGGTTTTTCTTTGATTAAACACAATGTGCATATACGTGTAAAACCTCATTACTAAAGGATGAGGAAGGAGCAGCAGGTGTGTTTTATAGGGTGTGAAGAACTTGCAGTGAGTTTCTTCCCGAGGAAGCGAGGAGTGGTCTGCGTGAGGGATCCTGTGGGGTCAGTGCAGCAGCGGGCTGCCCGCTGCATGGTGGCACCTACACATCTAGTGGAGGGTTGCTCATTTGGAGTCTTCCTGGAGGCTTTCAGGAAAGAAAACCTGCTTAAACTAGTCATGGCTTTCCTAGAAAGAGAAAGCCAAATTCTGGTCTCGGATGCAGATGTGTTAGGTCTTCGTTTCTATTATCCCCCTGTGACACTTAGCTCAGAATGGTTTGCAGTGTGATCAAAGATTTTGTTCTTTTGATGTATCTACCCCAAACCAGACATTATTGATTGCTCTCAGCAGGGCATGGACGCTGGAACAACAGGTCTCCAAGCTGAGGTGCCCAAGGCACAGGGACTTGCAAACCGCCTTAGCACAGTATGCCTCAACCTGGGCCAGATCTACGTGGTGGCAACTGCCCTCCCCTTGCCTGAGAAGCGGCAGTTTAGGATGAGAGGACGCATAGTGAAGTTTCTGGCTTGGAAATAAGGGTTGGCAGAGTGAGGGATAGGCTGAGGGAACTGGGGTGGTTTAGCCTGGAGAAGAGGAGGCTCAGGGAAGACCTTACCGCTCTCCACAACTACCTGAAAGGAGGTTGTAGTGAGGTTGGTGTTGGTCTGCTCTCCCAAGTGACAGGACAAGAGGAAACAGCCTCAAGTTGCACCAGGGGAGGTTTACATTGGATGTTAGGAAAAATTTCTTTACTGAAAGAGTTGCCTGGCACCGGAACAGAACGGGCTGCCCAGGGAGGTTGGCTGAGTCACCATCCCTGGAGGTATTTAAGAGATGCTTAGGGACATGGTTTAATGGTGGTATTGGCACTGCTAGGTTAACAGTTGGACTTGATGATCTTAAAGGTCTTTTCCTACCTAAAAGATTCTATGATAATGTGAAAGGAATGATGGAGCCTCTTCCTGTGGTCCATCTCACGCAGACCCCAGAGCTGCTATATATGCCCCTACCTGCTTTCTCCTCATGATGTAATTTTTCCATATGTCTCATGTCAAGTGTCTTTGTCAGTGAAGTTTGGTGTTTTCTTCATGATAGGCTGGTCTGTGTAATACAAACCCACACTGATGGCTCCTGAGAGAGTGCCAGGACCCAACTCTGGCGTGACCTGTACTGGAGTAAATGGGCAGTAGTGCTGTCACATGCAATGACTATCCTTCCCTTTGTCTTTATCTTAGTTTTGAAATGAAATTTCAAAATTTGATCAAATATGTGTTTTATTCATCATTTTAGTATCCCAAACTCAAGACCAAAACACGAAGTTTGGGGTTTAGAATATCAACTCTTAACTGCCCTGTAGCCAGCACTGGAAATTCATTTTAAGTTCAGGTAACACAGATGACAACAATCACTCACTGTCTCCCCTGGTCTCGGCAGTCACCTCTGCCTCCAGTGCTGTGCATTCCTGAAATCAGTAACCCTGTGTTCTTCCTGATGCCTCAATTTGTGGGTTTTTTTATAGTTTGAGGGCAGCAGGCTGCTTGCTTCTTTGGTATCTGTGGGGCAGTGTCCCTGAGGAAAAATTGCAAGCCAAGAAAGAAATTAATTTTTTTTTAAATATGACCAAAGATTTCAGGATCCTGAAGTTAAAGTCCAGAGGGATCACTGATATGCAATGCTTCTGGCTTTCAGGGTGCTCATTTGGGTGCTCAGATACGATCCTAACAGCATTAGCTATTATAAGGCAGCTGTTTTTTCCAAAGCCTTAGCGACAATATTTGCATTCTTGTGTAGAAGTGATTGGCTTATGCATTTCTTCAATCTGTTTGGCAGTTCTGGATCTGCTTCAGGCTCACAGAGGACAAGGACTTTGGCTTGTTAAAAATCCAGCTTTTTTTGATTGCCCGCTCTTCAGAAACTCTGGGATCTGGTATGCACTAGTGAGGATGGGGTGGCTTACCTTCCTCGCCCTCCTAGGACCTGCTCACTCATCTTCTGGCAGCTCCCATCTCCCTCTGCTGACATATAGAAGGGAGATAAAGTTTGGGAAAAAATCATTTCACCCCTTTGTTGTAGTTTAATTTTTTAAAAAATTGAGATAACTGCAATGCTGTGAAAATCCAGCAGCTGTGCCTGACCTCTTGGATGGCTAATGCCATTGCGCTATCCTTGGGCTGAACACCACAGGTTTGCACCAAAACAGAAGGTGTCACGTGTCCTACAGCCAAACCGCAGGTGAAATCCGTGGGTACACAGGCAGCGCTTCAAAGCGACAAACCCTGAGCAGAGAATAAGCTGGCATGACTGCATCGCCGACAGCAGGGAGCTGCTGTGCTTGGAAGCACGTGTGCTTGCCTCGGTGGTGACGGGGGTGGCCATGTCCCACCTGGGCACATTGGATGTGGCCACCAGCCCCTCCATGGAGAGCCCCTGGTCCCAGGCATGAGGAAGGGCTGGGGGAGGAGGGAGGTTAGAGGGGGCTGACAGATGGGGATTTCTGTTCTACTATCAGGGGAAGGTGCACCCTGGCCCCGGGGAAGGGAGGGGAGTTGGGAGGATGTGTGAGAAGGGAATGGTATTTGCAAGCAGGGAAGGTCACCACCAGTGAGAAAAGGAAGAAGGTGGCTAATTGACATGCCAGTCCAGTTCTCCCAGGAGCAGAGCTGAAACACTTGCAGACCGCATTCCCAGCCTCCAGCAGGTGGGAAGCCCGCAAGGTTTGCATCCTGGCTCTGCTCTCCAGAGGCAGGTGGACTTAAAAATCTCACCAACAGTCTTAGAAGAATGCTAGTAAGGGAGTTGGAAATTGAGCTTGTTGTGAAGGTCGGTGGGGTAGAGGAGGAGGGAGAGGACTGACTTTTGCATGTGTGGAGTGGAAGGAGGAAACGATCCCAGTCAACACTCATGTTCTGGTTACTTTTACACTGATGTGGTGTGGTGCAGGCTGATGAATCGTGCCCTGGCCCAGACAGCCAGAGCTCGGGCACTGGATTCAAGTTTTAAGCAGGCTGGGGACATCTGTGTCTGGTGGCAAACCGTTTTAAACTGCTGTCAGGGTTTCAAGGGCAGGCTAAGCTTCAGCTGTTCCACCGTATGCCCCCCGCTAGTGTTGGTGGAGGACTGAGCGTGCCTGCAAAGGGGAGATCAAAGCCTGGAGCAGGAGGGAGAAGGGTTGCCCTCTGGGGCTGCCTCCACTTAGCTGGGAATGGGGTGGTTGGGTCAACACCTCAGAGAAGGGCAAGTCACGTTACACCTCAGGCTTGGCTAGTGGTAGTCCACTAGTCACTGACGTCCTGTTTCTCACAAATAGGGAGCTGAAGGGCTTACACTTTCCTCCCTCTCCTGCATTTCCCTCCCCACCCCCCAACAGCCTTTCTTTACAAAGAGACCAGCAAGGCAGACATACCAGAATTTGGGGATTGCATTTTTTCCTCCTAAAAATGCAACTCGACATCAGCCTAACTCTATCTTCTGCTATGATTTCATCACCCTGCCTTTTTCTAACGACTTGCCATTTTATAGTAACACATACATGTTTGTATATACATGATCTCCCCTACTACCAGAAAATCCCATAGAGCCGGTAGAAATGGCAGTGTGGAGCAGAAGGGGAAGGAGACACTGTCATCTCACTGACACGGGCTCAGCGCACGACGAGACACAAGGCTGGGTGCCCATCTGTGGTGCTTGTACCCCATCTCCAAGGCCTGTTTTCACTTTCAAAAAGCTGACATGAACTTCACCCAGCGTGGCCGTGAGTGAGGACATCAGGCAGGGGCTGACTGCAGACCCTGCTACAGGGTGCCACATCGTAGAATGGTTCGGGTTGGAAGGGACCTTAAAGATCATATAGTCCCAACCCCCCTGCCATGGGCAGGGACACCAAATATGAGGTAGCACAGAGCTCTCAACAGCTTCCTTTTTGCTTCTAATCAGTGACATCAACTGATCCATGGTACCGTAGCTCCTGCTAGGAGGTGTCTCCCTGTAGGAGCTGTGTTGGTGCAAGGTTAGAGAGGAGGACAACTCTTCAGCTGTCACCTCGAGATATTTAAGGCAGATGACTCAAGCAATTCCACACAAGCTTTCTCCCTGTGAAAAGGCTGCAGAACTGAAACAGCTGAATAATGTGGCCTTGGAGTATTTATAATTAATTAATATTTCCTGTTGCCTCCCAGCCTTTTCCTCTGTGTTTAATCTGTTAATTAGAAGCAGGTAATCAAGGATATGTTGAAAACATCTGCAGCAACTGTTGCCCTCACACTTCCTGCTCTGTCCACCCACTCATCAGCAGAACTGTGTCAGTAGGGAGCCTGAGCTTACCTTTCTAGGAACAGTTCTCTCCTGTCTAACAGCACAGCCGGGTGGAGGTGCTGCCTTTGAGGGCTGGCACCGAGATAAGGTGCCTGCCCCAAAACAAGGGTTGGTTGTGAATTCACAGTATTATCAGCTGCTTCATAGTAACTCCCCTAGACTGGCTCTTATTCCATAATAGATTAAAAATAGGACTAGCTACCTTGCACCATCACCGCAATATGGTGTCATTTCTCCTCTTATTCTTTGTCCTGAAGGATGTCAATGGTTTCTCTCCTGTCTTTTGATTTGCAGCAATGCCTTCTCCTCAGCGTTTCAGTGGTGAAAGCATTATCATTTGGAGTGACCTTGACATTACCATCTCTGTGCCATGGTACATTGGGCTGATGTTCAGAACCCGGAAAGTCAATGGCATGTTGATGCAAGCCAATGCTGGGGCTGCATCCAAGATCAACATTCAGGTAAAAATGTGGCCTGCCTTTGGTTGGAAGATCACTGTAAAATTAAGATTTGTTGATTTAGTATTATCTTTTTTTTTAACAGAGGTTGTAGTGTATATTAATATAGATGCAAAGAATGTGTCTCTTGATTGGTTTGGGGTTTTTTTGTCAGTAGGGTAAGTTAGAGTCTGAATGTCCAAAGTTATATGAGGAGTTAATGCTAGTGTTCCCTTCTTTACTGTTTGGGCTTTTTTCCCTTTTGGGTTGTCTTAGGAAACATTACCATCTGGCCCTCTGCCCCCTTCTGCACCAAATACAAATATCTAGCAAAAAATAGATAGGATTTCTTTTTTTCCCAACAGATACTAAACAACTACGTGCAGTTTGAAGTGTACAGTGGCCTCAGCCAGGTTGCTAGTTTGAAGATGAGCCAGTCGCGAGTCAGTGATGGGGAATGGCATCATTTATTAATAGAGCTGAAGAGTGCTAAAGACGGTAAAGACATCAAGTACCTTGCTGTCATGTCCTTGGACTATGGAATGTACCAGGTAAGGCAGCATTATAACTTTGCCCCTAAGCACTACAGAAATGTTTTTAGTAGAAAGTATGGTAAAGGATGGTAGATAGGTGCATACGCTGTGGGCCATGTTCTGCAGTGATTTGTGCCTCATGACGTTATATTAATTTATTAAGCCTAATGATAAGATATCTTATGAACAAGTCTGTTAAAAGCCACATTCAGATGTCTAGGTTCTCACTGCTTTGGTATTTTTTCTGTACTCTACTGTCAGCTACTGCTGACTCCGTCATTATGGAAAGCAGGCTGGCTGTGTCACAGAGGATGACACTGCTTCTTATCAACTGTCCTTTTCCTTAACAGAGCACTGTGCAGATTGGAAACCAACTACCTGGACTGAAAATGAAAAGCATCATTGTGGGAGGTGTCTCTGGAGACCAAGTCTCTGTT